AAATTGGGGGGAATCCTCCAATAATAATAGATAATAATGTATAAAACACATATAGATATTCAATAATCTGTGTTCATTTTCAAAGGAGGAAATTAGGATAAAATGTCTTACAAGGCTGTATAGGGGAGCGACAATGAAAAGGGTAAGAAATATTTTAATATACTAGAAATGTAGCATCCTTTACCAAATGAAATTAGTTGTTTAAAGATCCATATTTGGACAAAAAATTAGGAAAATACAGCAATGCAACCAACTGACTGGCATGACTTCGTGAATTAAGGTATGCAATGTAGTTAAAAAAACAAACCTGCTTTTAACCAAAGTAGCTTTTATCTTGGATGATGGGTATAAGCACCCAACTTCCTAAAAACTTGTAAGCAGGTGAAGCTAGGGTAGAGTAATGGAGAGAGGATGCAGGTTAATCAAACATCTAGAGTAAGCCTAAGCAACTGAGGACCTTGGCTCTACAGTAGATTAACAAGGAAGTGTGAGATTTATGTTTGGCTCATTACTTACAGTTTATATATCCCAATTTTTACAATCTATTTTCACAGTTACAAATTTATAATATTAATAACATGTTGCCAATTCCTGGCTCTCTCAACAGGGATTTAAAACCTCATAAGTAATTATAAGCCCAACAATTAAATACTAATTCCAACTGCATCTTTAGCTGTCCTATTCTTTAGAGACCATCAAAAATTAAGTTACTACTATTAAAACTGAAAGATAAAAATCAGGCTACAAAGTTGTACTGAGTTTCATAAAAAATGACACTTTTTTGAAGAATTATTTTATGTTACAAAATAGATTTTTACAAACAGCAATGAAAATTATAGTATATGTCACCTAACAAAAGGTAATTTAAAAAATATTTATATTACCCATCACATTTGAAAATGACCTCATGAGGTAGACATGGTGTTTACATATCTATTGAGAAACTATCATTTGCCAAATTTTCACATTGCATTTCAATACACCTAACAAACAAGTTACAAGGTTTAAACAGCCCTCAGATCTCATAATCTTACCCTTCACTGAGAAGGACTTACAATCTCAATCCAGGCAAAAGAGAAAAAGAATGTAGAAAGAAAGTGATAAAAGACAGAAAGGAGAAGTGAAGTAAAAGAAATATAAAGTATGAAAAGTAGAAAAATGTCTGGATTTTTGAAAGTTAGTCCTATGCTCTCTAAGTAGGACTAGTGATCATCACTGGGCTGTCACAAGGTTCACACAAAAACTGTAAAAGTGCCCTCTAAAAGTTAACTTTTTCTTTTCTTTGACTGATAACATTAAAATTACTATTAAGGCATCCGCAGCAGTCACTTCTTAGAAGCAAGGAGGCAAGGATTTGAGTTGGTGGTCAAAAACTTTTTACTTTCATCTATAATGTTTGCATTTTTATAAAAAGAAAGTATTCATATATTATTTCTATAATTAAAAATTAACCTGCATTGATCAAATATATGGAAAAGAACTGTATGTAAGTGGTTTGGATAACATGGAAAATTAAACTAAACCTGCCCTGTATTTTCAAAACCATAGGTATACCTCCCCATAAGCAAAGATAACCCCACTATTATTCCTGGCTTTCTTACTATAATTCACCCCTTTTACCAAGAAGGCATAGTAGACAAAAAGTAATGCATCTGCAAATATCAGTACTTTTAGTTAAAAATTTCTTTTATCTACTTTATAACAAAGATGTCTGTTCTACTTAACTGTCTAAAGCAAAATTTACTCGTTCAAAAAAAGTTCATGAAATCAATAGATACATATTTTTATAGGCCGAGTGTGGTGGTTCACGCCTGTAATCCTAGTACTCTAGGAGGCCGAGGTGGGTGGATCGTTTGAGCTCAGGAGTTCGAGACCAGCCTGAGCAAGAGCGAGACCCCGTCTCTACTAAAAATAGAAAAAAATTAGCCGGGCGTGGTGGCGAGTTCCTGTAGTCCCAGCCACTCAGGAGGCTGAGGCAGGAGGATCGCTTGAACCCGGGAATTTGAGGTGGCAGTGAGCTAGGATGACAC